CACGCCCATCGATTTAGCAGGCTTAAATATGAAAATAACAGAGGACCAATGGAAAAAATACAGGAATAAAAATAAACAACCCATCATCATTTATCCAGGAACACATTACAGTAATACAATAACTTACATTCAAAATTACAATGAATCATAAATAGAGCTTTAGACTGTCAGATATGATCTATTTTTAAAAAGTAAGACATATTAGGCCAGACATATAGCTCAGTGTTAAGAGTGATTGTCTGACATGCACAGGATGCTGGGCTCCATCTACACAAAATAAATAAAAATCAAAATTTTGTGTACCTTAAATTTGACCTTCACTTTACCTTGAAATTAGAGTTTTGTCAGGAATGGTGGCACACACCTATAATGCCAGGACTTGGAAAATAGAGGCAGAAATTTCAGAATATCAAGGTCATCCTCAGCTATAAAGTGAGTTTGAAACCAGCAAACTACATAATCTGTCTATAAAAAAAAAAAAAGAAAGAAAAAAATTGAGTTATATGCTAAATGTACAAAATTTTAACATGCTGAATAAGATGTTAGCATGTTGTCTTAGTCAGGATTACTACTGCTATGATAACCAAAACTAAGTTGGGAAGGAAGAATTTATTTAAGCTTACACTGCCACACCACAGTCCATCAGTGAAGGAAGTCGAGACAGAAACTCAAAAAGGGCAGAAACCTGGATAAAGGAGCCGATTGGGGGGAGGGGGTGTTTGGGTTTGCTGCTTACTAGCTTGCTCCTCATAGCTTGCTCAGCTGGCTTATAAAATCCAGGGCCAGCCCAGGGATGGCACCACCCACAATAGGATGACACCACCCACAACAGGCTGGGCCTTCCCCATCAATCACTAAGGTTTGCCTACAGCCTGATCTTATGGAGGCATTTTCTTAATTAAGGTTCCTTCCTCTCTGATAACTCTAGTTTGTTTGAGTCAAGTTAACATAAAACTAGCAAGCACACATTATTATAAAAATAGATCGATATGAAAAAGGCAGAAGCCATGATTTAAAATACATACCTCAAGAAAACCAAACTACTGCCTGTCTGAAGAAACACAGAATTCAACAAGAGAGCACTTAAAAGACAGAGCTATGTCATTTTAGCTTCCTCCTCAGAAACTAATAAAATGAATTAGTTATATTCAATAGCAAAGTCATTATGGTCCACTGGCATTATTCATGCTTGGAAACCTAAAAGATGCAATGAAGTTTAAAAATTTCAAGTCTTGAGTTACATAAAACACTCAGTGAAATAATATTTAAAATACAAGTATATTTAAAGTGAGATTTTAAAATTAATTTTCTTTACATATAGGTCAACTTCTCTACTGCCAAGATTTTTAAAGTTAATGAGAAACAGCATACAAAAACACTACATTTACAAAAAGATCTAAAATAAAGGTTCTGGATAAGTAATCTGTTATTACTCCATACCTAAGAATTTAAAATATTAGAAACTATACTAAACTTCATTTTCCAGCATTTGACTTTCAAAAACAATTAAGAGTATAAAATTTACCTCATTTTTTTTACTATACCCAAATATATAGAATATTTTCAACCTAAATCCTTTCTTAATGTTGTAAGAAAGTCTATATGTATCACACTACAAATTACACATATGTAATCAATCCATTCTCCACTCTAAATACACAAACTAAAATTAATGGTGTTTCCAGATAGCCCATTTTAATGACCAAATGTTAATGTGTCATAAAAACTAAAAGAAGTAACTTGATAGAATATACCATATATTCTCCAATGGTTTAAGGAATCTCAATTTGATAATAAATTCATCTCACCTTCATCAACAATATCACAATTTACTAATAGGTGGATTTTAGTAATAGTCTGTGGAAAATATCCATAATGGGCAGAGATCTCAAGAGGGGAGGCTGAGACAGAGACGGGGAGAGACTGGCTATGAGAAGAATTGTTAGCACCTTTCAGCAATGGGCAGTTCTCCATTAAGGATATAATTAACTGCAGTTCATAAAGTACCATAGAATGAAAGGTATTCCATAAATGTAAATTTTTAAATGGCTTTAAAGTAAAAAACAGTAATCTTAAAACAACTTATAGCCCAAGTGTATTATAAACCAAATAAAACTTCACTGTGGGATTTTTTTTTTAAGTTAAGTTTTTTCCTCTATTAGGGAATCCAGATCTAAATGAACTGTTAAACACTTAATCTAAAGGTATGCCAAATGTTTCTTAAGGTCTTAACAAAGAATCAACTTTTTTTTTTAAACAAAAAGAGTCCTAGGTTAAATATTTTATTTGGCTTCTCAAGATGGACTGAGAAGTTGGGCACCAGCTCCAGACCAAGCTCTGGACGCACATCAAACACAGCCCTGTCACTTATCCAGTCAGTCAAAACAATCTTTTCCATCTAACCCTTTTATGTTTGTGTCCTAAAAAGCTGCTAATTGAATCCAGCTCTTAAGATCTATTTGTTAAAATTTATACTATTTAATTCGTAAATGATGAACACAAATGAAAAAAAATGTAAGTTGACATTCCCTGCAAAACAGGAGATTTCACCATATGTAATCAAAGAGACAACAATGGTTTTAATATTTGTCAGACTTTTTGAAAACTATTCACAGGCAAATTCCCAAAAGCTTTAAGAAATTGAGACTAGTTCAAACTGTTTTTACAATTAAGAGGAGAGGACAGATATTTAAAATTCTTCAGAAAAAGCTAAGTGTACAAAATCACTCTATAAATTTAGTTTAATGTATCCTCTTGCTCAGAAACTAAGTGTGATCTTTTTCCTCTCAAACTTCACTCAGGGCAAGTTTCCATAGTGTGGTGGTTATCATGTTCACCTAACAAATGTCACTCATAAATCTTATAAAACTATCATATGCAGCAAAAAAATGACAGATAAATATAAGATCTACGCAATCACACTAACCCTCAGAACACAGATGGCTGAAGGGGTAAAGGTATTTTCTCTCAAGCCTGACGACCTGAGTTTGACTGGGAAGACTCAGAAGATGGAAAAGAAGATCCCACCTAGACCTGTCCACCACACAGATTCCATAGCCGTGAGACACCTATACACCTGCTCGCACACACGCACACACACACAGAACATAAAGGTAACAAAACCTCAGGAGTCATTTTCTAATAATTTATTTGAATTTTATGTGCATTGGTATGAGTGTGTCAGATCCCTCGGAACTGGAGTTACAGACAGTTGTGAACTGGAATGTGTTAACCTGGGTACTTTGAAAAACAGTGCTCTTAACTGCTAAGCTATCTTTCCAGCCCAACTCAGAACTCATTTTATCCAAAGAAAACCCAAACCTCCCTTTTCTCTTCCATGTTTATATCCCAGAAGGAGATAAATAACATCCATTTCTGATGGCTTTTGCGCACCTACACTCACAATTTCTTTCTATAATTGATACAGGCCTGCCTGATAAGAACATCAACAAACTAGAGCACCAAAGATCCTTTATAATTGTGTTCCACTGACTCCCCCCAAATGAACACAATAAAGATGAAAATCAAAGCGCCCCCCCCCAATCTAGCGTTAATAATACCTTGTAATTTTCCCTAGGGAAAGAAACGCTTCCAGGTCAGTACTATGTATGTATTTTTTTAATTACTGGAGATAGGGGTGGTATGTGTACATAAGTGCAGGTGCTTGTGGGAGGCCAGACGCATCAGATCCCCTGGAGCTAGAGTTACAAGTGGTAGTAAGCCAAGGACCTGAGTAGGGGGTGCTGGGAATAGAACTCAAGTCCTTTTAGAGAACAGACTAGGATACACTTAACCACTGAGCAATCTCTTTAGTCTCAAAAGTAAAGTATTTTAAGCTGTAGCCAACATACCAAATTCACTTCAAGTTACCTAGAAAGTAGAGCCAATGGATTGGCATTTAACTCAAGCATTCAACTACAACATTCGTCCACATCAATTTCAAAAGTTTAGTGTAGGCAAACATAATTACAGCTTATCCTTCGCTCACTCAAATACATATCAACCAACTACAAAATGCCATCTTTTTCACCACATATCTGAATATAAATGTGGACAATTTACTTACAATGAATGACGTGACTAACTAGGAGAGGGACAATAGTTTCAATTACCCTCTTTAAACCAAACGCATTTTTTTTTTCCTTAAAAGGAGGGAGATGTGACCACGGAAGAATATCAGAAGTGGCATCGTAAGCAAATTATACCTATAATATGTTAACAACTCGCTGCACCTGGGAACATAAACAGTCTTTAACAAATCCCTCTGAGCATTCCTTTCCATTTAGAAAGGGGTGAGAAGTGTGGAGAGAACCAGTGAAAGCTCGATTAAAAGTTTGTATGAGTCCAGACTTAGAAACACATTTCAAAGCAAGTGATTCTAAACCAGGTCTGGAGTTAAGACGTGAGCCACTAGTTCTGCGGCCTACAAGGAACAACCCCAAACACGCTACCCTACAATCAAACAACTTCCAAAACACAGAGTGTACAATGAGCCGGGAGTCGTGGGATCAGCCAGACACGCCGGAAAAGCCAACCACAGTCTCAGCCCCTCCCAGAGACGTGCGTTTAAGGTGTGTGGCACTGGCCACAGAGGTTGGCAGCTGGAGAGTAAAGGTTTAACACCCGGGCATAGGTAGGTGTCCAAGTTAACAACCCGGGAACACACGCGCTCTCCCGTTAAGCACTCACTCCATATTTAAGGAGTGTTTACTGCGCGCAGTCAGCAACTGGATTCAGTAATCCCCTTCACAACTCCACCTGGGCAATAGCTCCTGTGACCCCTGGAAACGAGACTTCAGGACCTCAAATCCGCCCTCCACGGGAGACCCACGGGCCACACACTTGGCGTTCTGAAGAATTTCCCAACCCCAGCTAAGTGGTTCTCCAATGACTCCCTGAACTAGGCCTTCCCACGCTCGGATTCCTGTCCAACACCACCACCGACCCGGACCCCGGCCCTCCGCCTGCCCACAGGGGCCGCAGCCGCCCGCCCTGCTCACCTGTCAGGCGCAGCTTGACGGGCCCGTTCCTCCGGCCTCCGGGGTTAGACATGTCCCCAGCGGCGGGGGAGGCGGAGGCGGCGGCGGCGCTCGCGGCTGGCCGGCGGGCGGGCGGGCTGGGCTGGGCTGGGACGGGCTGGGACGACGGCGAAGCGCGGAGGAGTCACCACAGCGGCCGGGGCCGGGGTCCGAACAGCCCGCGCCGCGGCCGCCAGGGCCGGAGGGTCCCGGATGTGCCGAGCGCCGTCGCCATGAGCCGCGGAGGGAGCGGGACGCAGAGCTCCCCCCTCCTCCCACTTCTGCTTCCTCGGCCCGGGCCGCACAACAAAGCGGCAGCCGCGGCCGGCCGCGCCGCCTCCACCCCGCGCCCCCGCCGCCTCCTGTCCTCGCGGCCCGCCTCGGTCTCCCCTTCTTGGTGCCGCGAGGCCTGGGAGCCGACGGTGTGTAGTCTGCTGAGGCGGGCGGGTGCTCGGCCGCTTCCTCCTCCGCCCGCCCTCTTGTCTGAGGGAACCCGGTCCTGGGGCCGCTGCCGCCGCCACCGCCGCCGCCACTCCTCGGCTCCTGGGGGCGGGGAGGAGACGGGGGTGGGGCCGGCTGCGGGGCGGGGTTGTCGCGGGGGCGGGGATGTGGGCGAGGTCTCCTGAGCCTGGGGCGCCAGAGGCAGGCTGGACTCCGCGCGGGCTGCGGGGAGCGCGTGCGCCGCGGCCCAGACACAGCTCGGAACTCCACCGCCCGGTGGCGCCGGCTCGGTGGCTCCAGGGGGGCCTGCTGACCAGCTAGCTCACTGAAAGACAGCCTGTGTCCCTACAGGGCAGAATGCCCGAGTCATACTCCCACTGCGCGTCCTGAGAGACTGGCGAGAGTAAAGTTAGATCCGAGTCCAAAGAATTAATTCGACGAGACGCTAGTCCCACATCGAACGTTCCAGCAAATTCCCAGGAGTGCTTAGCTCTTAGTATTGTAATTGCCACCTCCACAGGCTCACCTGGTGCTCCAGATCCGGTTACCTACCTGCTCAGACTCTTTTTTTTTTTTTTTTTTTTCCCCAGCAGGACAAGCATAGGGAGATGATACAAATGCCGCCAAGGACTGTGAACAAGATAGGTGGATACTGTATGGAAAGCTCACGCAGTACTGTATTTTGCTATCTCAGGAGGAAAAAAGAAAATGAATAGGACTATAACTCTGACACAATAACTTACACTAGTAGGAACTTATTCTGGACAAATAAATAATACAGGTGTTTTGGGGTTTTGTTTTACAAGGTTGGGGTGAGAATACAGCCCAATAGTTAATTGTATTACATCAACTGCAACACATTTTTATGCAGCCATCCAAATGGCAATTGTGGTAACCATGTAATATGGAAGACTTTATATGTAATGCAGGGTTAAAATAGAGAATACAAGTTGTATGCGCACACACGAGTAATAATGAAAACTAAGGCTAAGAGTGTGGATTTGTATCCATGTTGGCTTTGCTTTAAGGCTGTTATAACATTAATGCCATTTAAACTGTTCGTTGAAGTCTAATACATTTTAAATCCTAAACATTGCAAATGGTTGCTTACAATCTATCAGTTAAGACACTTCATTCTCCAGATGAAATCCAAAAGCGTTTCATCAGTCTAAAAACACTCCTACGGATTAAAGTGATCCCAAAATCATAAGTTCTAGCAGTAAGACTTAAAATATAAGGGACAGCTCTAGAAATTCAATCAAGAAATACTAAGTGCTTATTATTCACAAAGCAATGAACAGAGGGCCCTTAAGAAACACTTCTTTGTGCTATGAAGATCTGAAGGTTCAGGAAACAATTCCCACAAAGGTTACTGTGGCGATAGAACAATTGCTACATCACTATTTCAGACGCTAGGTTGCGACAATAAACTGAGCAAGCTGATGTTCTGCATTCATACTGTCCTGGTTCCTATGGCACACACTTTGTTCCCAGCCACCCACCAGCATAATTTGTAGCTTTGTATTGGGAGATGGATGTTAAGATTTCACAAAATGGTCGGAAACCTAGCAGGGGATGGGGGAGGGGGCAGGCGGAGACTCTTGAATTTTAAGCAATGCCTTCAAATGTGCGGCTGCTCAGGGAAATGGGTATAGGCATAACGTTCAGACAATTTTGTTTAGACTTCCCTAAGTATAATGCTTTAAAAAACTATTCAATATGGGCTGGAGAGATAGTTTGGTGGTTAAGAGTATCTGTTGCTTTTTGCAGATGATCCCAGCACCCACATGATAGCTCACAACCATCTATAACTCCAGTTCCAAGGGGATATAATGTCCTTTCTAACTTCCGTGGGCACAAAGCATGCATGTGATGCACACAGACACATTCAGGAAAAACATACACTAAAAAAACCTCATACACACTAATAAGTCTTTTTAAAAGCTCAAAATATAAATAATAAAACCATTCAATATGTTGATAATCTCTGTGTAATGTTAGAAATCAAACCCAGTGTCTTACATATGATAGGCAAGCATACTACTACTGAGCAACATCTGAAGTCCCTATAATAATACTGTATTTGTTATTTTAGCTTTTACACAGGGACTCACTGTGTAAGCCTTGCTGGCCTATAACTTACTATGTAGTCCAGATTGGCTGAAAATGAACAAAGATCTATCCAAATGTACGACCACGCCCATTATTATCCCCATAATAATCTTTTTAAAGCTGGGTACATGAATGTTTGTTTTATTATTGTTGTTTTCCTTAAAACATTAAATGTTTAATATTGACTTTAATTAGTAAATGAAATAAACATTTTAGAAGACATAAAAATAAGAATTTTATCAAATGGACTAATGTTAATAGGAAAGTCACTTCCAATACATCTCTTGACTGAGAAGCTTCACCAGTGTAGGCCCAAATCAGAGCTCTTTGAGCCAGAAATCTTCAAGTAAAAAAGAGCAAAGCGTTTATGCACACGCACACACCCCTTGGCTATTTTGAAAGTACACATTATATAGAAACTATGCAAGGGACTATCAGCTGATACCTAGAAATTAGTAAGGACAAAGATGAAAAGTAGGGATTAACACTCATATCAATTACATGTATTTAAATGTAAAAAAAAAAAAAACACTTGCAGAAAAGGAAAATAGCATTGAACAGGAAGAAATGGCCATTCTCTCCACAGCAAAATGTTACTATGAGATTCATTCATCCAGCTAATGAGTTTTGAACTCCTTCTATGTACTGGACACAGTAATAGGCTTAGACCAAGATTTAAAAAATAATAAGACTTAAAGATCAGTCTAGTGGCAGAAAACTATTATAATAAAGAGAAAAAGAAGTCTGGGGTTATGGCTCAGTTGCTAGAGTTGTTATCTCAAATGCACAAAGACCTGGGTTCAATCCTCAGCTTGCATAAAACTAATTCAGCACATACTTATATTCCAGGACATCACTGATTATATAGTGAATTCAAGGTCAACCTGAGCTACATAAAATTCTTTAACAATAACAATAATAATAAAACGAGAAAGAAAGGAGGGAGGAGAGGACTTGCTAACTTTGACGGCTAAAGCCCTTCCCTGGTCCACTGAATCAGAATTTCCTGAAGTCAAGATGAGGGCAGTTTGTAAAAACTCTATGGGCACTCGGATCCAAACCAAGTTTAGAAACTACCAGCCCATGGAACTTGAGTATGCATCAGCATTACCTGGAGAACTTGCTAAACACAGAGAGCTACATCCCACACCTAGGGGATGGGGCTGTTTCAGTCTAGACAGTACTCTTATTTATTCACCCACTGTTAGTGTATATGGGGCCAGCAGAAGTGTGTGTGAGAGAGAAATGATTATTTAGTAGAATTGGTTCTCTCTTCTTTCACCTTTACATCAAACTGAATTCATCTGGCTTGCTAGGCAAATGTTTTTACCTACTGAGCCTCTTTCCAGGGGCCCCATTATTTCCTCCCTCCCCCCTACCCTGCACCGTTGCTAGAGAAGGAACCTAGGGCCCTATGCCTACTAGGCAGGCACTCTACTGCTGAGTTATATCCAGCCCTTGTTTGGGGTATCATTGCAATATGCTTCACTCTGTAGTTCACTCTGCTAGGAACTTGCTAGCAGCCAGGCAGACCTCAAACTCACAGTAATCCTCCTGCTTCAGCCTTCAGATCTCTGGGTTTGCAGATGTGAGCCACCTGGCCCAGGTAACACAGTTGCCCAAGTGATGCAGGTCTGCTCCTCAAGAGCACTGGGCTTTGAGAACACCTGCCCCATCTAAATTACACTGCTAAGAGACGTTTGAGTCTCGTTAGATTCAATTTCAGCATCAGATGCACCCCATGCTTTGTCACAGCAACAATTAAGACACAGTTTTGAGGGCAAACAAAGGAAAAATAACAATTCTTGAGCAAATCATCCTTTGTTTTCTCCCTGAAGTTGGAATCCATTTCCAATGCAAATTGTATCAGCACATACCTTTGACACATGTGGGAATTGCAGAAAGCTTTTCAAAGCTATTTTGTTTGTCCCCTTGTGACTTCTAATCTGCTCTCCATAGGATTGTGCTGTGAACCTTTTATACAATCATTGGTTTAAGCATTTGTCTCAAGTATACTAACACCACCAATTTCATACCAATAAAATCAATCTTTGGTTTGAGGAGATGGCTCAGAGGCTAAAGCACCTAGCACACCAGTATGAGGACCAGAATTTTAATTAATTCCCGGAGCCCAGCCAGGAGGGTATGATGTTCACCTGCAATCCCAGTGCTCAGGTGGCTGAGACAGGGGCTCCCTAGGGCAAACTGGCTAGCTACACTACCCAAACCTACAAGCTCTGAGTTCATCAAGAGACCCTGCCTCAGAAAGACACCCAACATCCATTTCTGGCTTCCATAAGCACATGAATGCACACACATGTACTATCACATATAGCTACATGTATGCATACCACAAATACACACATGCAAAAAAAAATCTTTTCCCAGAAGTATCACTTAACATAACTGTCCAGTAAAAAGGCTGTAACTTGGTGGGAGAGCTGGAGTGGCAGTTTATAGCACTTGGGTCCAAGCTTTAGGACCTGAGTTTGAACCCTGGGCCCCAAACAACAGAAA